ATGCATGAATGAGTCAAAGCAAGGCTTTGGGCATGTTTTTTTGAGAGTATAACATTATAACATGATGTAAAACTCAAAAAAGTTGATTTTACATGACAAAGATGGTGCAAACATCTATAATTAAAAGCCTATCATGCCAGAGTTTCAGACTGATGACGATGGACTAAAATGCTGAATTAGCATAAAAACCTAAAAGAAAGAAGGCAACGTTTCTAATTTCAGGCCCTCAGCTAATCTTCGGCTTGTGTCACCACTCTCAGCAGAGGAAATTTGGACAACTCCAGGGCGCCCAAACCTTTGCACTCTGTCATCATCCTGCAAAAGCAATAAGATGGGGGTGGGGGGGGGGACCTCTCATGAGATTGTGGCGGGGTTAAGACGCCAGGCACTCAAAGCAATCAGGCAGCTTAAGAGAAAAGTAGAACTGAAGCAATTGCCTCATTTCTCCAAAAATACCCTGAGAACTCAGAGGGCTTCTCACTGCCGTGCCTTAAGCCTCGAGCCTCGAGCCAGCAACGTTTTATCCTGCAACTGCCTCTCAGCGAGCACTGGCCGGAGACTTACACGAGCTTAAAGTGGGMAAGGATTTACACAGAACAAAGCAAGAATAGAGAGGGAGGGGGACCTGGGGCGGCGGGGGAAGGTGCCAGAAGAAAGTGCAGCCGTTTATTTACGTTGTGGTGCTTAAAAGACTGGAGGAAGTGTTCATCTCAGTTTATCTCAGTTACTGCGGGTTAATGGGTCAGTAGCACAGGAGAGGCGCATTAATCCATTTATCAGATAATCCTAATATTCTGCAGATTAGCCAAACCCAGTGCTGCTGTGACTTCTTGTCCAGTGTTGCATTCTGGGATTTCTTGGAGCCATGTATCCAACTGACTGAATTATAGCTTTTTATTGTGTTAGCTGTGGTGGGCATTTTGAATTTTTATCGGTAATGAGTTATAGGGTTGTAACAATACATCAATCCATGTTAATATATCACTTAAATTATTATTGATTCAATGACGTCAAGGCAAAATGAAAACATCAATCCATATTGTCATCATTTGCCCATCGGACACAATGATTGTGTGTTGGTTAAATTGACGGATAAACTGTTTATTAAGACAATTGACACAAGAAACAACTAAAAAGCAGCGGATCTGGTTACTGAGCTCTRGTTACTTGTAGCAAAGAACTCAAATACAGACAACAAACTTTTATATAACACGAACTGACCCTCTGTACAGCTGTTGAGATTTTAAAGAGACTTCAACAACAGAGCTAAGTGTGACTTCCTGTTATCTGGGGTCTAAACTTGAAATTCAGGACAAGGATTGTTTAAAGGCTGTTGTCTGCTAATGTCTAATAACAGGTTATAAATTCATTGTTGTGCCATCACTCTTTCTGAGCACAACTTCTGTATAAGATGTTTCCTACATACACACGTTCTAAAGGTCACAACAACAATCTACACAGAGATTATAGCAATTACATGTCATGCATATATAAGGCTATAATACATTGTTATAGCCAATGTAACTAAATGAATCATAATGTTTTAGATCACAGTTTTATGCTGTGTCCAAATTCAGAGGCTGGGTCCTCTGAAGGACCCAGCCTACCTGGTCTAGGTGGGCCGGGTCCTCAGAAGACAGCGAAAATAAATAAATAAATAAAAATAAATAAATAAAAAGTGGCTGTGAATTTGGATGGTCTAGCTTCCCGTCCTCACTCTGGCATACGTCCTGTCACCTAGCAATGATGCCAAACAGAAGCAAAACTAGATTGAAATTAGAAAAATATCAATACATTAGCATTATTAATAAAAAAAAGTTAGCTTAAAGGCAATATTTGAAGAACTAATGGACCCGCCGTAGGTGCATGTTTATTTCACTTTACCAGCTCGTTTTAATTCTGACAAGAATAATATTTAAAAACATGTCTATACAAATGATAAAAGCATTAACAACACAACCGCTTGAAACTTATAGCGCCAGATTTTTTATTTAAAACTGCACTCCGTTTTCTCGCTTCGTCCAGCATTATTAGCAGAAAAGAAATCTTTTCTCATCAATACAATTTTTGGGTTTGGACAGCCTCCAGTAGAATTTGGCCTTCAGAGGACACAGCCTGTGATGAGCTTATTGCAACATATCAATCACAGACTTGTGAACTGAAATAAATCAAAATGCTCTCAGGACAGACTTTGTGATAGAGAAACATTGTATCGTCATCTAAATAAATCGATACATTGTATCATGATACAATATAATGCTATGATAAAGCTGGTGATTTAACCCCCTAATGTAAATCCCATAATCGCTTTATCAGAGTTTCACTATTCACTATTTTGCTAAAAGAGAATTTAAAAAATTTTATTCAGTGCACAGATTCTTGCAGACAAACATACAAAAACGTCACTTTTGATGACAGGCGGTAATCCTGTGCTTTTGAATTTGCTATACTTGTAAATAATTCATATTTGTGTATTTTAGTACAATTAAAGAAACAACTTTGATAAAACCAAACTAAAGCATGACCATGCTTTAGAAGGGTTTGTTCTTATTGATTATGTATTCCTAAAACACAATATTTTTTTAGATTTATTTTGGTAAAATTACGAGAAAAACAAAACAAAACACTATTTTAGAAATACAAAACATTAATTTTAGTCCAATTAAAGAAACAACTTTGATAAAACCAAACTAAAACATGACCATGCTTTAGAAGGGTTTGTTCTTATTGATTATGTATTCCTAAAACACAATATTTTTTTAGATTTATTTTGGTAAAATTATGAGAAAAACAAAACACTATTTTAGAAATACAAAACATTAATTTACCAAAAATTATACTATACTGATGAATGAAAATGAAAATAAATATRTTTAATATCTGTTCAAATGTCTATATTGATTTTTTTCAGACATAAAAATAATCCTTTTTTATTTGAAGTTAACAAGAAAAATGTGCTTTTATTTTAGTGATTTTGCTCCAGGCCATAGGATTTTTTTTTGTTTAAAGTATAGTTTAGTTATAATAACAAAAATGTTACTTTTTATCATAAAATAAAAACGCAAATGGAAATGTTCACATYTTTATGTTAGTTTATTTATTTTTATTTTAACGTAGTAACCCACATTTGTCCCTGATCATATTGTAASATAAAACCCATGAAAAGCAGATTTACAGAAAAACCACAATTTAAAAGCTTTACAACATTTATGTTTCTCATTAGGCAACATTCAGGCATTTTCATCACCGAGGCTGGAAAGGACCCCCGTCTATCGCTCGGTGCCCCCATGTTCAAAAGAAACCTATATGCTCGTGGCCAAAAGATGAAAGTATTTTTATATCAAAGCCCCCCCACCCCACCCTTTCTTGTTATTGGGTTCAGTGACTCTGAAATCAAAGCTTTAAGAGTAATGCAGCCTTTCCAGCAGAAACCTATGGGCGACTCATTTCCCACGACCCCCCGCGGGGCACACAGACCCCGCGACCTCCCGTTTTGCTGTTCCGCAGCCGTGGGTGTTTGTGTGCGATGTGACTCGGCGCCCTGACACTGCAGAACAGGTCCAGGTCCTCTGCACTCACGGCTTTGACCAGCTCAATTAGCGTGACATACTTACCGTCTGGCTGCTGGACACGGCGGATTATGTCYTCTAACTTTGACAGCACACTTTCCAGAAGGTACAGCCATCATTAGACACACTGTCCCCCCCGCCTGCACATACACAGCCCTACAGGACAGCCAGCAGAAAAGTGACCTGAGCAACGGTGGGAAATATGACGATGGACGGGGAGACTTTGGGGTTCGTCCCCCAGAAGGAGATCRTCTACAACGGCCTGCTGCCTTACTGTGACCGTTTGGACCGAGAGGCTGCAGAACTGTTGGTGGAGATCAAAGCCAACCTGAGCAGAGCTGTGCTCCTCAGGGAGCTCTGGCCCGGRGTCGCTTTCTGGTCCAGGAAACTCTTCTCGTAAGTGTTGATGCAAACTTGGAACYGCAGCTGTATGAGTTAACAAATAACTACTGTAGCCTTCAGAGAGAAAAAAAAAAAAAAAACAAGCTAGAATGTTTCTGGATAAACTGGATTGCCAGTGCAGCCACRGCTCAAAATTCTAACTTAACTCTGTGACAGAAAAGACATGTTAAACTTACAAGAAGAACCAAGGTCAACAAATGTTAAAGCTGCTGCTRTTAATTTATTCTGGCCACCATGACAAACACACTCATGTGGGTCACTGCCTGATGTTTAATGATTTGGCATCCTTTTAGAAGGCGACCTATGACGGTCAAAGGTTTTTTATAACTAGTGACCAATGTAGATGCAACTCCTACATTGGTTTTTACAGCACCTGGCGAGCAGACTGCTTAGAGACTTCTTATTATCATCATATTAGCGAATCTCCATGTTTCTCCAAATTTTGGGACCAATCAATTCTTCCCATTCCCACGTCTCGTCTTTTTTACTTTCTGTTTTTCTCTATAACTGAACTAGTAGTAGAAAAATGGTGACTCTGACACTTTTTTTCGTGTTACTAAACACGATGCGAAGAATTACACCATTGTTCAAACGTTAAAAAGTTATTATGATACACGCACATCTGACATCTTTGTGGTTTTCTTGTGTTGTATTTCATTTTGTCATGTCGATGTTTACTATTAATGTTGTGGTCAAATTCATTGGCACGTGAAATATAATTGAATTTTTATTCACGGGAGAAATGAATCACGCCACTTTTAACCACGCATTTTACATTCTACACATCGTGGCTTGCATTTTGCGTCATGCTGTTTTGTGTAAAGTGCGCTGTAGATTTGACAACACGTTTTGCTGTAGATAGCTTGGCATATAGTGCTTTTTGCAGTCAGGGGAAGCACATCCTGATGGGGTAACAAATCTCAACACAACACCGGCAACCTTTGGATCCATAACCTTTGGACCCAAAAGTTGCAAGTTTGAACCTTGGTCATAACCTTAGAGATTGCTGCCATTTGGGCCAGAAAAACATATAGTTAACTGAAGTCTAAATTTAAACTAATTTCCTGATTTTTTTTTTTTTTTTGCTTTCTTTACCTTTTCTTCCTCCCAYGCTTGTTTCCCTTCTTCCTCACCAAGGTAGACCATTGTTCCCCAGGCTGGTCACCCACCCAAGCACTAACCAGGCCCAACTCTGTTTAGCTTCCAAGATCAGACAAGATCTGGYGTGTTCAGGGTGGTATGGTGACTCTCTGACTGCTTAGTTAATGAGAGGCAGACACAAATGCAGACTGAAAAGTGAGCCTCAAACAAACAGTTGCTGCGCAAAAACTAGAAAATCAGATCTTTAAGATTCTTGAACTATGAACGGTGAAAGAGTCTGATGGTCACACACATTTCTATAGTGTTCTAAATGTAAACATGAGAACTAAATCATTAAGACTCATGAAATTAAACAAATACCCACTGATATTCAGTGTTGCATAGTTRCTCAGGGAGGTACTTGATTGAAAGTAGAAGTATCTATCATAAAATTACTTTGGTAAACGTTAGTCTTCTTTAAGAATGTTACTTGAATAAAGTCAATTTTTGATATAAAGGTGACCCTCTGAAAAATTTATATTCATATCAGTGTTTTAAGTTTTTATTCTTTTTAACAATAGCAAGCCAATATGAACAAGGAGTAATGATTTTCTTA